AAATCACTTCCAAGCCTATAACATGGCACAACAAAGGTGTTTGCGAGCTCCAGATATTAAGGCAGTTCTAAATAACTGAACAATTCTATCTTCCCACAAGCTGAAATTCCTTTCTTCTTCCTAGTATAATACTAGAGTAATTTTGTCATCCATTTCACCAAGTTACAATTAAGGGGAAGATTTTAATTAAATATCATTTTATTTCTTTTCACTTTAGAACAATGCTGTTTAGTATAGAAATTAGTTCTGTTATGACCAAATGAAGACCCATTTTTATGCGACATTTTTTTCTATTTTCATTGATTTCGACTGAAGTCATTTTTCATGTTTTAAAGTAATTTTTATTGCATATTTTTACTGATTTCATCGATTTTAATGGTACCTGCTTCAAACAATATTTATGTGGTGCAAAACATTTTCACTACAGAATTCCTGAGCAGCATATTCGATTTCTTTGCTCATATTGTAACGTCGACTGTTGTGAGTACAATATTATCTAATGTTTCTATGATGACTATCGGCACCATTCTCCATTCGGCCAATTTCGCGATAAATAGAGGCAGAGATTTTCTTTCAAAGAACAGAACAAGCCAAACATTTGCAAGCCGAGTTCACTTGAACAAGAAGATAAATATCTCTATTACATTAGTAACATATCGCACCTCCATTAGAAAAGTGACAAGTTCGAAATCGTCATTTTTAGCTAAAAACTGATAAGAGGTTACCAAGAAGTACTGTTAATATTCTTAAGTTAATTTTGAATTGGTTCAATTACTGTCCGCTAGAAGGTGAATATTTGGTACAATCTATAACAAGTATTACAGAACAATGAAACAAAATTGCAATTTCAGAGAAATTTGCACCTATGTCACTTTTCTATTGGAGGTGCAATATGCAATAGCTTGTTTTGTTCATGTGAAGTGGTTTTGATCAAATTTTTTACATAACTTTTCTTTGTTTTAAGGGCATTTTTGAAGAATTTTATTGATCATTTTTGCCAATATTTTAAGACATCATGCTATGAATAAGAAGATGAATAAGAAGAAATTTGCCCACTGCACTCTGACATATCGCATGCATTTTGTGCATCTGATTTTATCTTGATAAGTTTCCTGTAAGTTGTTATACCACAAATCAAGAAACGATTTGAATTTGATATGGTATGTGCAATGGCACAAATATATAATGCAACTGATAGTAAATTAATTTAGAAAACATTAAAGAGATGGAGCATACTGAAGTTTTGTTTAAATAAGCACAAATAAGTAAAGTATTGTGAATTTAAATAGTATTGTGTATCCTTCCTGTACAAATAATTTCCAGTCCAGTTCTTCTTTAACCTTAACTTAACAATTCTGAAATATTGTTGCAAACATTTTGTAATAGCTAGTAATACAAGAGAAATCTGGGAAAATTTTTTTAAACAAATATCGATTTAATATCCCACGATTGCTGTGAACAAAAACTGTTTCCAATGAAACAGGCAAAAAGAGGTTTAATCTGTTTCGTGTATCACATATACCGATTACATTTTGCATTATGTCTACTCCTAGGTTAAGGCTTTACATTACAATGCCACAAGGACAGCAACAGCAATTTGCCATGGCATAGTTTGTAGACCAGAGCAGGCAAGGTATGGTTAATTGAACATCACTGGATTTGATTTTAATATATTCATGTATTTCAAAGATGTTCCAAAATTCCTTAAATGTACTAGTGGTACTCCAATAGCACATACTTTCTAACATTTGTAATGGCTATGTAATATGAATCCATGAAAGTGTTTCCAACCCACAAACACGGTTTGTCTAACTATAAAAATGAGGTTTCACAAGCTCTTTACTTATACACTTCACCAATGCCTGCAACGTTACGTGAACATTTCTGGAGACTTCGACAAGAAAGTTGAATATCGTAAATTTCCAAAAATTAAGAGGTCTTAAGAAAACAAAACCTACAAAAAACCACCCTTCAATATTGCCAAAGATTTAATTTTTATAATTTCTGAAAATTATAGAGAAAGAAGATGAAGAAAATAATTAGAGCTACTTTTGAAAATGTCAAAATGTTGAGGTTTCATGTGAAGTACCAGCCAAAACCAAAATATGTTTAAAATTCAAGGTGTCATGACATCAAGCAGATCCATTACGGAATATAAATTTGAGTGAAAACCCTAAGAATGGTTTAGGTGATAAGTGGCATTCACAGAAGACTCTTCTATGAATGAAGGTTTGGGTACCCACGATTTCTGACTACACAACATGTCAGAAGTAATTTACAACTATATTCAGGAACAAATATTATGATCCCCTTTTTTCAGTATCTTTCAGGGTCTAGAAGTTTTACTGTCTCTAAACTACCTAGTTTGCAAGTAAGAAAGACCTACTTCTCCTGTTTGATATCTCAGATTAAAAAGAAAAAACAACAACATAGGAGTGCCAAATAAATTATAGGAGAAGAAAGTTCAGTGAATTTTTGGAAAAGATTTTTCATTGATTTTCAAACACCCAGAGAAGTTGAAAGAATAACCTTATCTCATGAAACCAAACAGATCTTTGACAACCACTAACTGGAGGGGACCCATTGCGAAGGACAAGTCAGTGGTTCTACCGTGAACTAGACTGGCCCGCCAAGAAGAGCTGCCTATTCTCTGACAGATGATCTAGTCTTAAATAATACGGACTCCAAGAGAGACCATCTGCCCCTATTTTCATAGCCCATAAGCTCTGAAGTGACAGGCCCTTTATTGTGTGTTTGCAAAGTAGTGTGCGACAATAGTGCTAAACCTACTACCAAAGAGTGTCAGCAGGATTATCTAACAAGAGCCCCAAGTATGACCGAATTATGGGCATCCTAAATAACATTGAACATCTGTCTAATGAAATGTACAAATTAACCAACTTTTGCAATTAAACAAATTAATAAAATATTTATGACCATACACAAGTTTGTTTAAACATATTATTGACTAACCATGTACTTAAGTTTGGTTGTACATGAATCCACTTCTAGAGCAATTTTCCATGTTGTCTGATGACTGCTTCATAAAAGTACTTTCAGAGCAATAATAATAGTAATAATAATAATAAATAATAAAATAATAATAATAATAATAATAATAAGAAGAAGAAGAAGAAGAAGAAGAAGAAGAAGAAGAATGACTAGAGGTAAGCACTAATTACAACCCATGCAAAATATTTTGTCTGTTTTTACACATTTAGCAACAAACAATATTTTTCTTAACATACAATAAGGATTCTACACAGTGATATTACTCATCATGCTCTCAAAAGAGCAATATTTATAAGTTTGAAGAGATACAATTAACATGTCTGCAAACAAGCAGAAAAAGGAACTTTTGGACTAAGGATTACTGAATTCTAGCACTACTGAGTGAAAGATAATCACATCAATACACACTGAGTTTGAAAATTTGTTTTGTTGTTCTTCCATCTTTGAACAATGTATGACCACAGAAAGAAGTATCTTCTTTCACCATTCTTCTGTATGCTTTAACTGTACTGGATGTATGTTCTCATTTAACTTTTCAGTTAGTACAATGTACTTAGACAAGTCACCCACATGTGAGTAAATGCTCATTTTACCACATTCTTTTTTTTAAGTAAGCAATGTATTCTTAAGGAACATTTCATTTGATTTTTTGGTAGTCATACTAAACTATTCAATGTTTTTCAACAAAATTTACTAATAATGATAAACAATTCAAAACTTGATACATGGGTAAATTTAAAATAGTTTCTCAGAATCAAAATTTGACAAAAATAAAGTTACACTAGGGTGGGTTTTCCCGTGTCTCATTTTGGAGATTGTGCGTGTGTGTTATTTTTTTAAGCAATTGTCATCTAGTATTGAGCCCAGTGTTAAGTCGCTAAAAGTTGGCACTTACACAGGATAAAAATAACAATGTCACATGTTGCCCATGCAACATAATGAAACACAAAATTCATGATACTTGTACTGAGAGTTAAATAATATTAATAATATTATTGAAATTGAAACAGAATGAAAAAATATTTTGAATACCTCAGTAAACTTCACCATTAACTTTACTTGGACTGTTATCTGTTGAAGTGTAACAGTAGAATGGTTTTCTTACGCTACCCAGAATTCCTGAGTTCACATCCAGCATTTTGATGCCTTAAGTGTTATATGTTTTGAGTTTTATTGTTACGCGACTCATTTTTTCTGAATTAGATTTCCTTTGCATATCATTGTTTCAATGGCATTTCATTATTTTGAATAGCAATTGCAAGTTTTATTGTTATTACACAAAAAATGCAAATTACGTGGATTACAGCCAAAAAGGAGTGAGAGCACGAGCAGTTTTGCAACAAACTTGATTCGCAACAGCAAATTCCCACAGGACTTCCTATTTGCATTAATTTTGAGACACCTTCCTTGTTACAGAAATGTGCAGTATTTTGCATGGCCAAATTTAGTGTAATAATGAAAATTGCAATAAAAAAGTTGTTGTTTTTCCTGGATACCACTTAAAAGATTAAATGACTTGTGGTAGACACCAGTCTTGTTGGTCTGAATCTTAAATTTGATATCTTGACATTAATATCTTATAGCGTTCTTATCTGACTACACAAAGTACAATAACAACAGATCTTCAAAAATTTTCAAACATTCATGACAACCTAACAGAAAATTTCATTGAAAAGAATGATACTACAATTGGCAACAAAAACCAAGAGCTTAACATTTCAAACATACTTAAATTTATTCTTTTCAATTTTTAATATAAGAAGGACCAATAGCAACTTGATTCAAATACTTGTGCAAATAGACACAAAGAGGAAGAACAATTATACCCAATTTGTGAAGAGGCAGTAGAATTGAGATGTAAGTGTAATGCAAGTCTTGCAGAAACAATGGTACAAAATAAATATTATCAGAAGTATATCTTTCAAATCCAATAACGTATCTATTCTACCAACCTACAATTCATTGAACTATAATTTATATTTTCAAGTAGAAATTACAAATGTAAGAAAACTCATACATTAAAAACATAAAAAAATATTTTATTCCATTTGGAGAAATATTTTGAAAATACATTTTTCAATGACATACATTTCAGTTGGTAGAGTACATCATTATGACACCACTCTTCAGAAAATTAAAATAGTTTTCATTCATGTAATCATATTTAACAAATCAGTGTGTTTTGATATTTGTCTTATTTAGAAACAGTTTTTAATATCAAGAATACCAATTTGCTAGCATACACATTGCAACCTAGAGCAGTGAGTCTCGTCAAACTATTGTGAATTACAAAGGAATGTAACGACGTGCTACAAAGAACCATCTCCAGCAGTCTTTATTGCAATTACAAATAATTCTATGTGACAAGAAAAATTTTAGTTTAAATTTAGTATTATCCTTTTTTACTTCACATGTAAAGAATTTTTTTAGATTGAACAAACACAACCAAACACAAGTTGCAATTTCAAAACAACTGACAAACATGAAATCTCAGAATTCTAGATTTTGATAATATAATGAAATTGAAACAAATTGTTAAGCACCAAATTTAAAAACGAAAGGAAAAAGCTAAATATATAATCCACATTAAAATCAATGATTCTATACTCACAACCACAAGTTAGTAATTCAGGTTAACAACGCACTCAACATTTCTTGGAGGTTATCCAACATCCCTCATAATTCATATAACATTAATTCAAAAACATTAAAATTTTACCAAAACTCAAGATGATTGTAATACCAGCTCATTGTTCTGAGGCATTTAATTTATGAATGAAACATTTTTCTTTATAAAATTAAATTAGCACAGAACTGTATGTCCCTCAAAACATGTACAATTGTGAATGATGAACTACATAGAAAACAATAAAACAAGCGAGGTCATCAAAAAGGAAAACCACCTATCTTACTTGATTCACAACACTATTTACACAACAAAACATGTGTTTCACCTGATAACCTCGTTGTTCTTTATCCATTTTTTAAAATATAAATCTTTACTTACAAAATATAGGTATGAAGCTTAACAAACACAGCTTTCATACTACACTATTTTTAAACACAGATTCTAAAAATACCATTTAATTGGGTGCCTTTCAATATTATTGCTACAGGAACTGCCAAAACATGCAGCTGAACACATTTATGAAGTAATTTGCTTAAAGCACAATGCTGAATAGTAGTTTTTTGAAACTCTCGCATGTAACAATTGAAACAAGGACAATGGGGAGGGAACAAGGATAGGAATAGGGAGTGTCACTGACCTGTATGGAAACGTTTGCTTATAGCAAACAAATGTTACAAATATTACAAATATTTAAAATAGGTACTTTCTGCAATTTTCAGCACCACATTTACACAAGGTCTTTGGTCCTTTGGGAGGAGTACCCTGTTTGTCCTGTCTCATGTAGTCAAATGTTATCTCCTCATTCCTTTTTATTCGTCTAGTGGAAAACAAGGCCAATTTTGGCAAATTGGGATCAAGACAATTGATCCAAACAGCATATACAGCTAAATTAGGATTGCAAGAGTGATTAATAAAATGAGAGACGTTTCCAAAAGAAGCTGCATCAACAGTATAAGGGCACTGTTCTTCTTCATTATAGTCAAGATCAAAAAGGTATGTGCGCCCTTCGGCATCATACTTCTTTCCTCTCTCTTCAGCCTCTTCATTGTCAACAACTTCTCCCACATATTCACAAACAAAAACCCCTTTATTAATTGCCTCTACTGCCTTCACTCCCCAACCACATCCTGAGGATGTGCGAAAAATACTTAATTTAACATTGGGGCCTTTCTGAACAACTCTATTGATGCATTCCTTAGAACATGAACATTTTTTATTACATTCATAAATTGGGGTGCCAATGGGAACTCTTAAAATACCATTTGAATTGTAAGCAAATGAACTTCCAGATTGCTTACCACAACAAAGAGTTCGGGAATCACACAATTGGCAGTTACATCCAATAGGAGGATCATCAGGAATGGTAACACCCTTCCCTGGGATATAATCATTAATGTAATGAAAATTAGCTGGTCTCAATTCTAAATCTACATTGTTTTCTACAATTATCAAAGAAGGATCATTTGCAGATCGATTAATTTCAGATTCCCATTCTTTCAGAGATAATAACTGATTCGTTCTCCTCTTGTGTAAGGCTCTTAACATCAAATCTTTCTGAACTTTCTCCACTGTCTCTGGATTTCTTGCAAACTCTGGAACACTGAGAAGTAAACTAAGGGTTTTGCGTACATCAGTTTCCGATGGAACAACATATTTAAGTTTTCCCTTATGAATTAAAGTTGCCATTAAGATTTCTAAAGATTCTTTAGTGGGACTGACCAAAGTGTTACTATATGCCATAATGTCTTCCTCTGTAATTACTCGAGTTCCATTTATTTTCGCAAAATATTTTTGCAAACTTTCACCACAATTATTTAAGTGTTCAATGGGCTCCCAAGTATTAAATTTGGAATCCCAATTTTTCCACTTCACCATATATAGAATACCCTTATTATTTTCACAATGGTCAACAATTGCTTCAACTTCATACACTTTCTCTGTGCGTGATCTCTTGTCTTTCTTAGCCGTTTTTGGGAAACTTGCAGAAGATGATCTCTTTCTTTCTTTCACAGGTTCATCTCCAGAATCCATCATTGACACAGGTGTATCTGGCATCCCACAAATATCCAGTGATTTATCACTATCCATAGTGTCTGAGGAATTATTTGTTATTTTTTCACTTGTGTTGAAAGATTTTTCACAGCCACTGCTAGAAAGAATAGCACTTCCCTCTTTCCCACCATCTCCTACACAGGATCCTTGTAATTCTGTAGTCTGAGGTCCACTCTCTCCAGTTACAGCAGATTCAGTTACTTTTGTATCAGTTGTACAGGACAAACTCAATGACATTATGGGGGTCTTTGGAAGAGAGATAACAGGATGCTTCATCACCATCTTGCACTTCATGAGTCCCTCTTCTGTGCCTGTAATTGCAAAAGTTACTCGTGTTGCTCTTAACTTGATCGAATTAAACAAATGCATTTCAAAATAAAGGAAAACAATTTACTTGAATGAACTGACAGTACAAATACTTTCAAGAAAGTAAAAATAACTACAAGTTAAGACAAAAAAGTAGATTTAAAGCATTAATTGTAATTTACACTTTGTGAACCAACCTACATAAAAAAAATCAAATTCTTCATAATTAGCTTCTCAATTCTTTTTTACTTTATTGAATTTAAAAAAAATGGCATTAAATGAACAAATTCATGATAAAAGACACTAAGATAAAAATCAAATTCTAAAATTTAATAATGCAATGCAACAATATTGTAGGTTGTATTTCATGTAAATATGAAGTAAATCTTGTATTTCCAGCACACACTACTCCAAGTGATAAAGTACAAGATAAAGTAACAATAAAATACATAAACATATGAGAAAGCTTTGAAGACAAGGATATTATTCACCAACCATATAAGAACATGCAATGTGTTGTGTTTACAAATGAATCGTCCATATATTTTTGAAACATTTACCACCAAATTAAGCAAATTTTGCAATTTTGTTGATTATTATATTAATTAAAATAAAATTAAAAAAAGCTTGAATGCCATTCAATTTTCACTCTGCCCAATCTGCAAAAATCTATGAGTTCGCAAAGAAGACGAGGCTAAAAGGTGGGAACACTATAAGTTTTCCAAAACCTTTCTTTTGGCAATGTTGAGTTCAGTGTAACATACCTAAGTTTCTTTCAAAATTCCACAGGCAAGTGTTCAGTTGAAGGGGAGTTTACTGCTAACTGTTTTAAAAAATATGTTCTGCTGTTTCTCTTGCTTGTTGGCCAAAGTAATAAGAACGCATATTTGTCATGATTTTTTTTTTTTTAACTCTGCAAAAAATGTTTTATGCAAACAAACAAAATGAAGTGTGAAAACTGCTCAAACAGCTACATCAAATAAGTTCATTAACATTCATTGAACCAATTGGTCTTTCCATAAGACGGTAAAAAATTTCCTCTTTAGAGCAGCTAGACGCAAGGCACATTTCACATATTGACCTCTATTAAGGAGTCACCTCTAGCAATTTAGAACTCGCAGAATAATTATTAGAAGAGTGGCAGATATACTGTGGATTTAAAATCTCCTTACATTGAAACGGTCGGCAGAATACTTGGAACAGTGACATCCGTCACTGGCAAGGGGCTCGGTTTCTCTAAGGTAAAATCATTATTTTCCTAAATTCCTCTATCGAGTAACTACACATTCACTTCACTACCCTTTATTTTTCTCAATATAAGACAACCTCCTCTTTCCCACTGTGAAAACTATATTACGGTATGGCAATGGTGCGGTATATGGTATGGAGAAGTATGCCACAAGCTCAAAATCTGATTGTCATTTGTGAACTGCTTTGTGGGACAACTCAGTGCACAGATGAATTGGATTAGAGTGTGATTCAGTGGAAGCAGAAAGTGCATTTCATACAGCCAAGAATTCTTGACAGTAGATGAAGGCACATTAACCTATAAAACAAAAATTATTCAGCTAGGAAAAGTGCTCATAATTTTAAGTGTAGAAGGAAACAAATTTAATACGATTACAAAAAACCAACTCCATGAAAGCGACTTCTTAACTGTCTGGGTGAAACCATGTTGTTGGCTGAGAGACTGACATTTCACCATCGCAGGCTTCCTCAGAGTACTCACTATCCTGCGGAAGACTGTGATATGTCAGGCGAAACTTCATCCTCTTAGCCAACAACACAGCGGCACCCGGACAGCCAAGAACTCTGAAACTTTAGTTGCCAAAGCTTACGTGTACACGAAACTCCAAGAGACTCGTATTCAGCTAAAAAATGTGAACTCTGCAAGACATTTTCTGAAAGTAGAATCCACACAAGAACATATTTCCCTATATCTAATGAATCAAGTGTAGTTTGTTGTTTAAATTGTGTTTTGTAGTTTAAGGTAATTAAAATTATTTTACCGAAATTTAACTCGAAAGATATATGCATATAGGACCAAATCTAGTTCTGTTGACATAATTTACATAATAAATTTACTTACTAATCATTGAAAAAAAGTTACTTAAAAGTTGTCAATACATAATATTTTGAAATATCAATATTGTGCGTACCCTGTCATGGACCACTGGATTTAATTTGACTATACTTGTGGAGTGCCCTAATGAACTTATTTACTACTGGGTGTTGTTTTATACTTTCTACATATTTTTTTCTCAATCTTTCTTTGTCAAATGGCAAATTATGTGAGTAATGTTCTTTTGGCAGACTACACGTAAAAGACATTAAAAAATTCTAACGGTATAGACAAAAAACTGGCATATTTCATTTTGTAACTTGCCTGAAAATTTATGAGACACTCCTAGGACAAAGTATATATTGATATGTTTTATATGAATATAAAATAATGTATATTCAGAAGCGGGAGATGAATGACAAAACAACTTAGCACTGCTACCTTCTATGTGCTCACATTGTGTAATTCTTACAAAAAAGCTTCAAATCAAAAATTATAAAGGTACATGATTTTTATACTGTAGGTATTCCTCCAGTCAAAACTGATGTAGCACATGGTATATACATTTCAACAGACAAATTATCTTCCCATTTATCAGCCATGCTTTCATGCTCGGCTAACTTCCTATGGCTTTCTAAGGAACAGTTTGACATTGAAATTATACCAATTTTTACTTTCTTGTATAAGTACATACATAGAAATATACCAAGTACAGAGAAAATTAAGTACTGCTGCAGAAAATTGATGTTTACATTTCAACGGAAATACATTTTGGGGACACCTGATTCAAAAAGAGGTGGTTGTTTTTTTCAATACGTCTGTCCGTCCATCTGGACGTATGTGAGCAGCACTAGCGCTAAACTATACGTTGGATTATTTTGGAAACTGAATAAACAGCTATCAATTTAGCCTGAGTCTAAGCTCTGTGATTTTGAAAAACATTCATTAATTTTTGTGGGTTCTTTACATGAAGCCCTTGCAATATATTCAAAATTTTCTCAAAAATAGCTCCAAATTTTTTCGTTATCCTTCGGGTGGGTGGGCAGCAGCTCTCGGAGCTGTTTTTCTCCAAGGGAATTTTTGATTTTTGAGTTAGCTATCAAACAAAAACGCATCTACTGTTGCTCACTACGCATCAGTGTTGAGAGCTTTAAGATTTTATGCTACAAGGAATGGACAGTCGAACAAGTGGACATTGGACAATGGAATTTTGCCATCCAAAGGATGCCCAGTATGCGGTATTAGCAAGAGGTGTCGAAGCCTCAAATAGGAGGGCAAGATATTTTTTAGAATAGCAAACTTTCCTGATGGAGATTATGTGTACCAATCGTCTCCAGGGAGTTAGAAGAATTCAAAAATTAAAAAATATATTTATCCTTAAATGTGCAAACATGATAAACCTACTTGAAATATGTTAAGAGCTTATATCATCACTCATCCGTATTCAGCACTCTATTTGGTGCATGTGACCATGTAGCCAACCTCGGTGCAAGGAAGATAAACCAAGATACATTCATTGAATCATCATGGCAGTTGGAGTGTGATTTCCAACCCAAAGTTATTGGGGAAGCTTATTCAGGCACCAAATATTAGACGTTCAAGGAAACTATGATCATCAAGACCGACTTGACTAAGAGTGGTGAAGATGGCAGAAACATTGGTACTCACCGCACACTTAAACATAGTATGCGTGTGTCAATACATCCCAAATCATGGGCCCAAAGAGAACTCTTATTTTGTAGCAAGTATTCCCATGATTCCAATCTTAATCTACAGGTATAAGCAAAGATAGTTTCACCTGTGGTCTTCTACAAAATAAGGTTCACTTTGAATAACACAGAGGGATATTTCCATTGGAAAAATAAGAAACTGGTATTGATGCCCTAAATGAAGAGGTGAAACACTGCCCAAAACTCAGCGAGTTTCCAGCGACAGGTTTGTTCCATGAATAACTCGTCCATACTAAATAGACAATACAGGTACTCTGAGTTGCTACCTACGCTACCCTTGTTGTACTTACACACGCATTGTGTGACCCACAAGTCATGACTTCGTTATACTAAAAATACATTTACGATATTTTTCATACAAATTAGTTTTTAAAGCAAGCTATCATGTGCTGACCTGAAACACGCACTTTACTCAATTTGATGGCTTTTGTGAATTTGTACTAATAGCTGGTGATGAATCTGAAAATAACGAAAAACCCCAATTTTCAAATCAAATTCTCAGTTTTCCAGCCCTTTTCAAATTCCAGGTACTCACATAGTATGGTGACATGACCAAGTGGTTAGCTGACCTCCAAACCACCAATGCTTGGGGGTCAATTCCACTGAGGTGAGTGGATTTTTAAAGGGTGGCAATTCCCCGAGTGGCCATATCATGCTCATGGCATGTAAAAGAATCCTGGAAGGTGCCCAGCAAAATTAAACCCCTCTGATAATGTCCCATCCCAAGGAAAACTCATCCTCCTCATTGAACAGTACAAAGAATGGTTAAGTGAGACCAACATCCGGCTGAGAAAGCAAGAATTATATGCAGGTACATCGGGAGACGCTTGTGAGGCATGCCAAAGTCCCCTAGATCAATGTGGAACTACGGCCAACGGCCAGCTCATGAAAAGAACTTTACGATCTATAAATAAATAGTGCTTCTAACCCAGCTGTCATGCAACAGCAAGACTTTGGCAGGCTAGCACCTTTTAAATATTTGCTATTTCCATGTGTTATGAAACAGGAACTTTTTTATATTTATCATGTGTGTAGAATGTACTGAATACAGGATGTCCCACCAACTTTGGACCACATCCATAACTTCTAAACATCACGACATCAAAGAGCAGTTTTTGCTCAACAATGCAGAATCATGCTGCATGTAATAGGTTGTAGAGATATTATTCGTATTATTTATCATTTTTGAGAAACACAATATTTAATATTATGT